AGCTAAATCTCCAGCGCATCCATTGCTGTCATTCTCCTCAACCCCTGGCAACCACTGGTTTGTCACTACTAAAGATTAGTTTGAGGCTTTAAGTGTATTATTTTATTTTGAGTAATGGATTAATATCCTTATGACTGATTTCTTTTTTTTTTTTTTTTTGAAACAGGGTCTCGCTTTGTAGTCCAGGCTGGCCTTGAACTCACTATGCAGCCCAGGGTGGCTTTGAACTCAAGGCGATCCTCCTGCCTCAGCCTCCCAAGTACTGGGATAATAGGTGTGCATGCCACCACAGCTGGCTGTGATCAGTTTCTTGTAATAACCTTGCTAATATAACCTTATTGTAACTGAGAAAAAAAAAGTTCATTTCTGTTTTTCTCTGAGGCAAACATACTAGTAAAGTTTTTTTTTTCTATTAATTTGGGGGCTAGGGGAGAAATTTGGTGCATACATACAGTTGACTTACAATTCTGCAAAAACTTTTAAAACTTAAAAGTTTCTCAAGAAGGATATTGTGCTAATAAATATTCCTAATGGACAGTAAGCTACACTCAAGAATTTAGTAACTTGTTCGATTTGAATAGTGTATGGCATTTTATGCTTTATTTATTTATTTGAGTGCTGGGACTTGAACCCAGAGCTTATGCATGCAGGGCAAGCACTGTACCACTGAGCTACATCCTTAGCTTCATCCTCAACACAACTAGTTGATAGGAATAGGACTTGATAGGAATAATCCTTATTTTAGCAAGTATAGGTGTCTTGGTTACTTTTCTCCCATTGCTGGGACAAAATACCTGACACCCAAAATTAAGGAAGGAAAGGTTTATTTAGCTCACAGTTTATGGAGGTTTCAGTCTGTGCTTGGCAAGTTACAAGGCAGAGTGGCACATGGCAGGGGGCTACAGCTCATGGTGGCAGAACACAGCAAAAGCAACAAGCACACACAGGGAGGAATGGCAGCAAGCAGCCTCTTCCTGTCCCTTACATATGCAAACTATCCACCCCAGGGTGGGTGTAGCTCTCACACCCATAATCAATCAAACTCTAAAATCCTGCCCCGTGACCGCATGAGGCTTTGGGGGGACACCCAGACACAAACCATAACAATAGGAAACAAGTTTAGAGAGATATAATTAATTAGTGACAGAGTCTGGTTTAGACAGATTCCTTCATTTTTCTTACCACTTTAAAATTCTAATGTTCCCTGTGTCCCTAGGGTTAGCCTTTTTTTTTTTCTTCTTGTTTTGTTTTTTGGTCTTTTTGAGGCAGGGTCTCGCTATGCAGTTCAGGCTGGCCGTGAGCTCACTTTGTAGCCCAGGCTGGTCTCGAACTCACAACAATCCTCCTGCCTTAGCCTCGCCAGTGCTGGGATTACAGCTGTGCGCCACCACGCCCGTGGCCTTTTTTTTTTTTTTTCCAGTATCGGGAATCGAACTCACTACCTTGCGCTTGCCAGGCAGGTGCTGTGCCGCTGAGCTAAATCCCTAGCCCTAGGGCTGACCTTAAGGTAAGTTTTGTTAAGTGTAGTTCATAAGGGGTAGACAGTTACGTTTTTCATTTGTGGTTCTTATGGTTTCATTTTCCCAGAATTTCTTCTTGATTGATTCAGAATAGTGAATCTGAATGGAATACTCTGTGCTTGTGGAAAATGTTAATTCAGTCTTGAGTAGTGGTTGCAAACCTGTCTTACCAGGTATTGATATAGCCAGAGACATTCAGTGTGTAAGACTTCCCTTGAAGCCAGAACTATAAATCTTTACCTGCAGTTAGCTTTTCTTGGTTAACCTGTCCTGTAGTCTCTATCTCTGTTTTGTTCATTCTAGGCTTACATTCATTCACTTACTTAATATTAGAGCTGTATGTGGAGGCGCACGCCTGTAATCCCAGCACTCGGGAGGCTGAGGCAAGAGGATCATTGCGAGTTCGAGACCAGCCTGGGCTACAAAGTGAGCTCAAGGCCAGCCTGAATTGCATAGCGAGACCCTGTCTCAAAAAAAACAAAAGCAAAAACAAAAAACAAACAAAACTCATGTTATTAACTCATATTTGTGTCCCAAACTGAGTCATCTATAGATGTAAGCACTATATATAGAGAAAACAACATACAACACACTTGAGGTGGGAAAAGCCCCAAATCTTTTGTTTCTGAACATTGCGGGGCTTTTCTGTAAAAATGAGATATTTATTTATTTATTTATTTTTGAGGCAAGGTCTCACTATGCGGTTCAGGCTGGCCTTGAACTCACCATGTAGTCTATGCTGGCTTTGAACTCAACAGCGATCCTCCTGCCTCTCAGCCTCGCAAGTGCTGGGATTATAGGTTTGTAGGCATGTGCTACTACACCTGGCCATCAGTGAGTTATCTTTTAACCAAATTCTTTTGTCACTAAAAGCTATCCTGGAACATAAGGATGTCCATATGTGAATCCTCTTGGAAAACTGTAAGAGGAACTTTATTGATCATGGGCATTTAAAGTGACATAGTTTAGAAGATCTAGAAAGATCCAGAGATACAAGGGGAAATACCGGTACCCCAGTAGTGCCTCCTGGTTTGTGATTCCAGAGATGTGGAAGTCATTACCCTTGTGAAATAGGCCCACCTATTTTACAGAGTTAGGAAGCAGCACGGCATGGCCCGACAGTGTTTCTTCCGACACAACTCAGTGTGTAAGGCAAAACCATGGTCCCTCATGACTTAGTAGGGGAGCTTTCACGTGAAATGGCCATTTTTACTATAAACCATAACTTTTAACCAATGTCTAGTAAAATATTGCCTCCTAGGGCCCCTTTTACTAATACTAGAAGCAGCCTTTATACTGACTATTGCTATATAACTTTTTCTGAGAGACTAAACAATTTAACCTTAAAGAATGCCCAACTAGGCCGGGTGTGGTGGTGCATGCCTGTTATGCCAGCACTCAGGGGGCTGAGGCGGGAGGATCGTTGTGAGTTCGAGACCAGCCTGGGCTACAAAGTGAGCTCCAGACCAGTCTGAACTGCATAGTGAGACCATGTCTCAAAAAGATTAAAAAAAAAAAAAAAAATGCCCAACTAGTGCTATATTAATATGTGTCACATTATCTCTGTTCAACTGACTTTGATTCCTAAGAGTCTTTAACATCCTACCAAATTCAAAAATTTTAGCTGTATTCCCTTTATGTTCTTCAATCTCTTTCTCTCTCTCTCTCTTTTTTTTTTTTGATACTGGAAATCAAACTGAGGACCTTGCGCTTGCCAGGCAGGTGCTGTGCCGCTGAGCTATATCCCTGACCCTTTAATCTCTTATAACCTTCGTGAAACTGAAAATGCTCTTCCAAAAGTCAAAACAACTAAAACTAAATACAATTCTGATGGGCTAACACAGGCATAATGCATGTTAACAGATTCTTTTGTTGTTGTCGTCGTTTTGAGACAAGGTCTGGCTCTGTAGTGCAGGCTGGCCTTGAACTCACTGTGTAGCGCAGGCCGGGCTGGAACTTGTCTCAGCCTCCTGAGTGCTGGGATTACAGGTATGTGTCACCACGCCCAGCTAGCCTGACAGGTGGTTTTTTTT